GCTTTCATGATTTTAATAAATAGTCGTAAATGTTATTTCTTATTTGTAGCGTATTTTTTTAGAAAACACATAGAGAACAATTATAATGTAACGTTTGTCGTTTTTTTGTTCTTTTATAAATTATATTGTGCCCCCGTACTTTTAACATTCTGCGTCCGCCCCTGTCAAGAGACACATCTTGATCTTCTAATGTGACATGATTTACATATCATATTAACTACTATTTGATTTCTGAAAGTTGTACAATTCACATAATTAATGAATCAGATAGTTAGATGTGATCAATAATTGAATTATTTAATGATAAAATTTAATTAAAATTTGACCAGTTGGTTACACGTTCGTGACACTTCTAAAATATATTTTGGAGAAAAAAGATTTAACAAATATAATATTTATCAAGAAACAACAATGTAAATAAATGAAATAAAATAATGGTGATGTAAGACATGGCTTGGTGATAGTAAGTCCAAGTTAGTTAGTTCGGATTTAAGAAGAAATGGGTGCATTTCATGACGTGGGGGGCTTTCTCATAGAAAAGGTCAAAACACAATAATTTAACCTTTTCCATTGAAAAGAATAAATAAATAAATAAAAATCCAATGTTTCCATTGACAAAGCGTCGTCAAAATGTTGCCCTTTCTCTTTGCTTGGGATAAGGGGTTCCGTAGAGTGATCGGTTCAGTTGATAGTAAGTGTGTGGTAAGCATGATTGAGGGACCCCATGGTGGGGTCGGAGCGAATGGAAGTTTGATCCGAGTTATTTGGGAGCTTATCGCTAGAGACAGGGAGGTGCGCCTCCTCCATGATTGGCGTGAATCAAATTCTGCAGCGGACTCGTTGGCCTCTTTGGCTATGCGCTGTCCTGTTGGGCTTCATGCGTTGCATAACCCTCCGAGAGACATTCAACCGTGGTTGGAACACGATATCCTCAGTGTTTCCCATCCGCGGAACGTAGTTGTGTGATCCTTTTCTCACTAGGATATGCCTCCTTTTATGTACCAAAAAGAAAAATATATGTTGTACCAAAAAAAAAAAGTGTCGTCAAAATGAGGCTAATTATTAAAAATAATAATATTAGTTGTGTAGAGATTTTACGGTCTCGTTATGGAACTATTCCGTCGTAATTTGTAATCGGTAGATTAATTATTCATGACGGTTACATAATGATAGTAACAGTTACAAATTACAACGGAATAATTTCGCAATGTAGCATTTTTCTTAGTTGTGATCTTTTGAATATTGCTTTTACTTTTTTTTTTCATTTACCTTATTTCTTCTTTTGTTTTTAGATTTAACTCAAAGTCAACAAATATGCTTTAGTGTCCTTTGAATAAATCGTCATATTGATCCATTTAGTTTATAGTATTGAATTTTGTTTAGATTTTGTGGGAATTATATTTCCACAAGGTTTGAAATTAATTTAATTGGAATTTCTAAAGACTTTTTAAGAGTTTAGAAATTATGTTATATTCAATTTAAATTTGTTAAGACTTTCAAATTCCTAGGATATTCAATTGAAATTTTAAAAAGTCTTACAAAATCTGGAGGTATTTAATTTAT